TTTGTTGTATGGCTAAAGGAGATTTTGTTCAGAACATCCCTTTGGAATTTTTCCATCCTTGAACTTCATCTTAGAATGGAAGGAACAAATCATTATCGAAACTGCAGCAGTGTTAGCCAGTGCTTACTGTGTGTAGCTTGCTTTCCTTGTCTTTTCTCTTTGCCTGTGCTATATTGAATGACCAAATATTTTCTGCTACTGCCAACTGACACTTTGAGTCTGATGTCTAAATGTTACCTGACCTGCTGGGAGAATTCAGAGCCCAGAAGTATACTATTCTGGTCAGTTGTTAAATTTGTCACTGAATACATTAAACCTGGAGTGATTTGTTTGAGGAGACTTAAGTAAGAATGAGAGCAAATAGCACCACCTGCTGGAATGAATAGGAGAGGAGGAAGAATACCAAGAGCTGTCCATGGTTCTGTCCAGTTCATTGTTTTATCACTCAGAGGAAGTCATGACCCAGGTGTATTCAAAAGTTAATTTCTGTTATCTATACTTGTTTCTGATGTCAATGTGCCGCCTCATGCATTTCTCTTTTGATGTTTCTTTTCTCCCTATAGTGATGTAATATCAAAAACTAACATTAAGACTAGCTGTATTTAATTTTATTATTTCTCTTAGAATCTTTGGAAATTAGATCATAGGATGATGGCATTTGAAGCAAGCTTAGGGATCATTTAGACCAGTTTTTCAAACAAATTTTGGACACAGAAACTGGAAAGCTATTGGTGTACTTCTCATTTCATAAACCAATAAATTGGGGCCGAAAAAAGGTGAAAAGCCAAAGACTAGAATACTCAAATATACTGGTTGCTAAACCCTCCTTTATATCAGTTAAGATGCATTCAGGTGCAATGAAAATGGCTTAAACAATAACATTTATCTTTCATAAGAAGTCTTGAGGTTGCTGAAGGAATAATTTAGGGCTTTAGCAATGTCACCAAAGACTCAAGTCACCATCCCATTGACCTCCATGTTCTTCTTGGTGTTTAGTGTTTACAAGGTGGGGTCAGCAACATTAGGAACCACAACCTTTACTCAAGACAAAAGGGGCAGAAAGAGACTGACTATTTATTTCTTTTATGAGCTAAGAAACTTATCCCAAACAGCCCCCTCAAGAATTCCTCTCATGTCTTACTGGCCAGGAGAGCATAATATGTCCCATCCTAATGAGTTTTCTTTTGAGGAGCATGGAATTGGCACATTTGACTTAGACAAATCCAAATTCACCCTCTGGGCCTAGTGTGGGGTTATTCTTATATGATGCATAAGATTCTGTGGAAGCTCATAGATGGCTGGGCAAAACTGGGTGAGTTCACAAAGGAAAGGTGGGGAGTGGCTAATTGTTGGGGAATTTCCATGGAGTCTCTCCCATTTCTGCTTGACTTCTGAGCAAGAAGCAGTGATAGCTTTGTTTATACCCTTTCAAGGATACTTGTATAGGTGACAGCCTTGGAAGATAGTGTTTTGCTGCAAAGCAGATGACAGATTTATTTTCTGACCAGGATAAAAAAGCTCATGTGTCTCCTCAGGGCAATAGTTGAGCAGGTTTGCTGGCAGCCTTTTGAAAAGACTGTGGTTCCCTAAGTTCAGAATTCTTGATACAAACTCCATCTAGGCTGTTTCACATACCCCGGTGGGACTATGGGAAACCCATGTGGACAAGAAGTTCATGTTGCCTGTTCAGTGTGAATAAGAAAAGTCCTTTGTATCTGGCCCATGTGTCTCCTGTCTTCAGCCAGCATCTATGGAGCTATGCAGGCCAACATGTTTGGTTGCAAGTAGGATAAATCTCAGATGCTTCCTCATTCTTGATACTAATGGAAAGGCAACTCTTAGTGTTTGCTACAGTGTTCTTTCCAATGAAACACACAAGATACATCCAAGTCCCAAATACTTTCTTCTGAAAATAAGAATATTTTCAGTATGGAAGAAATTCCTTTTCCATGGGCAGAAACAGGCAACACTTCGTCTACAACTGGAGACGCACATTAAGCAGGACAGAGTCACTGGCTCTGGTGTCTTTCATGCTGCCTCCCTTTTATACACTCTCTAACTCTCTCTGTAATTACCTCTTTTAAAATGTCAGTTCCTCTCACCCAGAAAACCAGAAGCAATCAGCCAGCCACACACTGAACTCAGAAGCTTTTAAAGTGCGCTTGCCATTTGCCTGGGAGATGGGGTTTCTCAAAGGCATCCCTTAGCAATGTCAGAGACTCATGGAATGATGAGAAAAGGGAACTCTTTCCTTGGCTCCCACACTGGCCTTGCAGTCTCCTTCCCCAGGAAGCACCTGAAGGGAAGAGGAGTGTGCTGAAACTGAATATTGCTTCAGCAAAACCCAAATGAAGGCTCTTTAAGGAGGGTTATGCCCCCAGAGGACCTCAGTCTTGAGGTTCTGACTCTCTCTCATTGTCCCCTGACTAAGCTACAGCAGAATTTGCTTCTCTAGAAAGAAATATTGATGTTAAGAAGAGCCATAGTCCAGAGGAAGAAACAGGAGATCCAGTGTGACAAGCTGAGAAAAATATGTGTATGTCCCAGTTAACTTCTGCTCCTCAGAGTTTCTCTAAATGGTAGCACTTAAAGACTTGGACAAGAATTCATCAAAGCAGGAGGAGAGGAAATTAGAGCAGCATCTGTCCCTCCGAGTCAAACCTTAGGGTTAAACTCAATTTATCCCTAGATTCTATTTCCCTGATGGCTGTTCATATCTTTAAAATGAAACAATCTTTTCCGCTTAGCTCAGGAAATCTTGTGCTCTTGCTGTTCTGACAACTTACATTTTAAAATGCATCTGCTAAAACATAGCACTACAAGAACATAACAGATTCAATATTAAGACTGGGGATGCTTTTTCCCCCTTAACTATACCAGAAAGACAGGGAAAAATCTTCCAGTGGATGAGTCAGAGGGTTATCAACCTGCATTCTTACTTCCTTAGAAACCTTGATGAAGGTCACGGGCCTCCATTGAGTCACAGTGACTCCTGGAGGCAGGAGCTCCTAATTTGCAGGAGGTATTTCACTAGAGTGTGTGCAGGAACTGCCACAGGTGTTGAAATTAAAGTTCCCTTTCTGGTGACATAATAGATCAAAATTCCTCAGCACAATTAGGTTGATTAAATTGAGCTCCGCATCTAATATCCGTGTAGCTCAGTAATGTTAATGCAGCTTTCAGAGGGGCCTGACCCAGAGGCAGGGAACAGTCCAAGTCCTGGCAGAATCTGGCCTACTGTGGTTTTTAAATTAGAAGTTTGATTGCTTGTGACATCATCTCAAAATGGTACCAGTCCGGAGAAGCGGAATTTTCCATTAGCCTGAAAAAGAAAATTAAACTGCTTAGAGATTAGGCCAAGGCTTAATGGTAGATAGAGGGGCTAAATCTCTTTATGAGCAAAGTTAGAAAATCTGGTGGGCCACCTCTTTAAGATGGAAAAGAATTCGCCAAGCCTGAGAAACTAGGGATATGTGCTGCCTCTCCTGCTGATTGCAAGAAAAATATACATTTAGAAACCATGTTTGTAAAACATTGAGAACTTTAAAAAAAATAAAACAAAACAAAAAACACACAACTGAAATGTGAAGCAGGAAAACTGCTTACAAGCAAAATAGTCTAAGCAACCATGGAATCCATTTTCTATTGTTGGTGGTTTATTGCAGAAAAAGACTCATTTGCAGCAGATCTATGAAAAAGATTGATGTGGTCAGTGCTGGAGGGTACTGCATCATGGGGGGGGGGGGGGGGGGGGATGACCCAGGGAAGCAATAAATGATTCCCAAAAGGAGGTTAGTTGGCCGGGATGTGGAACTGCCTTCCACACAGCCTCACATAGTCTGAGGAGATACAGGTCACCTTTATTGACATTCATCAACAATTCATGACTCCCTCACTTCCAGTAGGAACTGCAATGATTAGATTAATGAAAAGAAGTTTTGTGAATTCCCCAAAAGCAGTAGCTCTCTATTAATATTTTTCCAGGGAGCTTTAAAAAATACCAATGCCTTCACCAGACCAACTGAGCCAGGATCTCTGGGGATGGAGGAGGAAAAGGGTATTTTATTAAGCTCTTTCTGGGAGTTATTGAAGAGTTAGATTAGACCCTAGCTGGATTTACTCAGTGGATAGAGCATCAGCCTGGAGACTGAAGGATCCCAGGTTCAACTCCAGCCAAGGGCACATGCCAGTAGGGAGCATGCAGGAGGCAGCCAATCAATGATTCTCTCTCATTGATGTTTCTGTCTCTCTATCCCTCTCCCTTCCTCTCTGAAATCAATAAAAATACATTTTTTAAAAATAGGGTAATATTGGGTATAGAATCAAAAATCCAGGCTCTGGCCCATCCAGTGAGTTCCATGGTTGAGAGATCTGCAATCACAGTTTGATTCCCAGCCAGGCACATGCCCGGGTTGTGGGCTCAACACCCAGTGGGTGTGAGGGGCATGCAAGAAGCAGCCGATCAATGATTCTCTCTCATCATTGAGCGCTCTCTCTCTCTCTCTCTCTTTCTCTGTGTGTGTGTGTGTGTGTGTGTGTGTGTGTGTGTCTTCTCCCCCTCCCTCCCCACTCTCTTTCCTCTCTGAAATCAATAAAATAAAATTAAAAAGTGTGTTGTTTTTTTTTAAATCCAGGCTCTTAAAAACCTGGCAAGCCTGGGTTCACATCCCAACTTCATTATTCATGAAATCTAAGACACTCTATATGTGCTTAACTTTTCCAGACCTCAGTTTTCTTATCTAGAGTCAACAATGGTAACTTCTCCATAAGCCTCTAAAGATAAAGAAAATAAATACATGCCTGGCCCCTGATACCAAGTCTGTCTTCCTCCCCTTGGTTATTAATCCTTATTGATCCTTATTCAAATGATTGTTTTTCATGGACCTTTATAGGCAGTAACAAGCTTAGATTATTTTTCTCACCCTATTTTGTTTCTCTTCTGCTCTTTGGTATCTCGAGGGAGAATATTCACATGCTTCCCATGCTTTCTGCTTCTCCAGCTGCCACGGAAGTGTCCTTTTCATTTGATGTTGGAAATGGGCCCGTGGAGATCGTGGTGAGGTCGCCCACACCTCTCAATGATGACCAGTGGCACCGGGTCACCGCCGAGAGGAACGTCAAGCAGGCCAGCCTGCAGGTGGATCGGCTGCCACAGCAGATCCGGAAGGCCCCGACAGAGGGTCACACCCGCCTGGAACTCTACAGCCAGCTGTTTGTGGGTGAGTAATGTCAAGGCCACCGTCTTTCCCCTCCACTGGTTTTACTAACGTTCACAATGGAAAAAAATAAAGCCCTTTATGGAGTGCTTTGCAAGAGATCTTTCTAAAAGTAATTATCTAGGCCTCTTGTAGTCTCTCCCCAGACAGAATGGAATGAGAGAGAGGATTTGAGAGACGATGTCCAGTCCCACTTCCCACTGTCTAGGGCTCACAGTCCTTGTCTACAGAACCAGAGGGGAGCCCGGGACATCTCTGAGGTCTCTAACCTATTCAACTTTAGGTTTGTGGTTTTAGAACTGTACAAAGTCCTTTGATAATTTGGAACATTGGTACTGTGCAAAGGAAGGAAGGAAAGGAGGGGTGGAGGGATGAAGGAGGAAATATGGGCTCTCTAAATTCAGGTTTGCTTGCAATGATAAATAGAAGCCCATTCCTTCCTTTAGACTTCTTGCAAAGATTCCTCCTACATTGGAAAAAGGTCAACACTGGGACAAAATTTAAGCAGCAAACTGTTAAGCAGCCTGTGCAAGAAGTAGGTTCAGCCTCACAGTTTGTCTTTGCTTTGACCTGGTCCAGCTGGACCTGACACTACTTCATATCAAGTCCTATTTCCACAGCTTGTTCAATTTTAATTTTTTTTTTCCTGAAAAAACTAACAGTTTAGAAAATTAGCCATTTCCTCTCTGTTGAATTAAAAGAAAGCAGGTTTGGCCATAGCTAGTTTGGCTCACTATTTAGAGTTTCAGCCTGAAGACTGAAGGGTCTCTGGTTCAATTCCAGTTAAGAGAATATACCTTGGTTTTAAGCTCAGTCCCCATCCTAGTCAGGGTGCATGCAGGAGGAAGCCAATCAATGTGTCTCTCTCACATCAATGTTTTTCTCTCTTTCGGTCTCTCCCCCTCCCTTCCACTCTCTCTAAAAAAGTCAATGGAAAAAAAAAATAATCCTTAGGTGAAATTAACAAAAAACAAACAAACAAACAAAAAACTTTGAAGGACTTTGAGGCCAGATTCCACCTTATACTTAGACACCCCCCTCACTCTCTCTGAGTTTCTAGGGGTCAGTTCAGCAAGTTGATCAACTTGAAAGGTTCAGACCAAGCAAAAGCAGATGTGACTGGGTTGCTGCCCATATTAATAACTCCCAATGCCCTACAGCAGAGACTCACCAGGGATCAGTTCATTTTAACAAGGGCCAGAGAGCCCACAGTGTCTTTCCTAGTTGTGTGGAGATGCTTTAAAAACATTAAATTTACAATAGCTAAGATCTGAAACAGCTCAAATATCCATCCATAGATGAGTGGATAGAGATGTGGTACATTTACACAATGAAATACTATGCAGCTGTAAAAAAAAGAAAATCTCTGACCCTTTGAGACTGCATGGAGAGACCTGAAGAGAATTATGCTAGGTGAAATAAGCCAGTCAGAGAAAGGCACATTATCTCACTAATGAACAAAATAAAGTGATGAACAAGATTGATCCAGAAATATGGAAGCATGGAGCAGACTAACCAATTTCAGAGGGATGGGGGTGGGGGTGGGAAGAGATTAACCAAAGAATTTATATGTATCTATGCATAACCTGTGGACAAATACAATAGTGTGGTGAAGGCCTACATTTGGGGGCAGGTGTGAGTCGGGTGGTCCATGGGGAGGAAGAGGAAGATATCTATAAAGATAATTTTTTAAGAAAGGAAATATTAAAAGTCACAAAAAGGAAGGTAAACTTGGATATCCACCTGTTTGCTGTGATGTGGGCCAACTACAGGGCGTTAGCTTAGTCCATTCATTTTGGAGGTAAGACTGGCTTGTTAAAAGGCCATGTCAGCCAGGGGCCAGGAAAGAAGCCTGGACTGTGAAGTAAAATACTGACTCCTCCATGCCAACTAGAATTAGTCCCTTCCAAATCCTTCCCTCAATTTATAGTTCTCAAAATTAGATTGTTTTTAAATTATTTTGTATGAGGTAAATACCAGGTTCGCTGATTCCTGCTAAATATTGTGAGCTAAGTTCACTTTATCAATATGTCCTGCCCAGATTACCTAAGACAAGTTTCTTCCAAAACCCTGTTAGTCCCAAGCAGGCTGGTTAGGTTCTACCCTAATTGACCAGTTTTTCTTTGTTTGTTTGTTTTTTAACTTGTCCCTGGATATAGAAGTCCAACTTTACTGTTATCACCTCCTGTTCACTAACTATAGTTGTCTTTATGGAATTTGGAGACTGAGTAAAGTCATAACGCAAGAGAGGGTGAGGTGAAACATTTATTATGATCTTGGAAAAGTTTTGATTTGTTTAAACAAGAACAACTTATAAAAAGAGAGTAATACTGGGCTGGGGCTGAATTAGATAAAATAATTAATCATAAGGGACAGGCAAAAAGACAGTATATCAGGAAGAAGAATAAAGAGGAACAGACAGGACAAGCAAGGAAAGGAAAAACTTGGGATGGGGGTCACAGGAGTTTTGTGAGATTCCCTAAAGAACATGTGTTGTTCTTTATTGTCATAAATTAGACTAGAAAGTGTCCTTTGAATTTAGTAATTATGAAAACATAATTGGAAGGAGAAGTTTTAGATGAAAAAAGAATGTTTCATATCATCTTTTTTTTTTCATCTGCCTAATAAAGCATTTGGATTATTTGGTTCCCAAAATTTCTTCCAATTTTAACCATTTATGATTATGTGTTTAGTAATGGTTAAAAAGGCCTGAGCTGCCAAGCAGTTCTTTCCACAATGTCATGTGGGCTTTGAATTCCACCTGTGCCCGCCACTTCCTAGCAGAGAGACCACTGACAGGTTCTTTAATATTTCTGTGTTAAAAAGAGACACAGTTTCTGCATCTCAGGAGGATGTGATGAGACAATCCATGGGAAGCAGTGCAGAGTTCCGGGCATGGTCAGTAAGCATTGAGTCCCTTCTCTGTGTTTTACCTTTACTCTCAGCTTTCTTCTTCTTCCATGTAATGTTCACCTCCTCCATGGTTGCCTCAGCCAGCCCACAGACTCAGAACTGTGCTCAGGGTGGCAGCCTCGGTCAGCCCTGGGACAGATTTTTCCTTGTGTTTGGAGAGCAGCAGAGATGCTCAAAGTCATTATCTAAGCATGAACAACACCAGGCTGGAATGAGCCAAAGCCCTTTATAGCACAGACACCTGCAGGGAGTTCAGGGCTCTGGCCACTGATCATGGTGCCTGGCTGTGAGGCCTGGAGCCCCATGGCCAGCCTAGGAGCTGGCCAGAGAGTTGGCAAGCATGAGCCATAGAATTCAGGACTATGCAGGGCAGATGGCTGATGGAAAGGTGAATTTGCAGTCAGTTTCAGCCATGCCAGAGCATGTAACTGTTCTTGGGTTAGTTTAAGAAGGAGGTCAAAGTTCAAGAGAGCTGAGAGTGGCTCCTAAGTGGCCCATAGAAAAGATTAGAAATCTTTTTGAATGAGAAATGTCCAGGTTCAACTCATTTAGCTCAGACATCTTCCAAATTGCCCTAGGAGTAAGGGAGCCATGCTTCTGTGCAAGATGTCAGCCCTAAGCAGCCGAAAACTTAATTCTCACTCTTTCAGGATCTGTGCTGTGCAGGGGGACCCAGTTGGTGACTCTGAGTAGATGGAGTGTCTCCATGCGGGCTAATGGGGAGCAGGGGAGCTCAATGACACCCATTTTCACAGAGCCCAAAATTTAAGGTTACCTTTAACATCCTCTCTTTCCTTCATCACTGCCCATCAATACTAAGTTTGTGATTCTACTTCCAGACTGAGCCCCAGATGCATACCCTCTGCTCTGCTGACACAGGTCCCACCCCAGTCAAGGCCACATGCTGCTTACTCGGACTACTGCAATTAGTCTCCTAAATGGTCTCCTAATTTGTCTCCTAATTTGTCTCCTAACTAGTCCCTTAACTAGTCTCCTAACTAATCTCTTAACTGATTTCCTTACTAGTCACCTAACTGGTCTCTTAACTGATTTCCTTACTAGTCACCTAACTGGTCTCCAGAGTCTTGAGATGTCCCTTGAATATCCCAAGCTTTCTCCTGCTGTAGAGCAAGCATTTGCACTGGCTGTTCCCTCTGCCTGAAATACCTCCCTAGACATTGACACAGCTGACTGACTCCTTCACATCACTCATCTCTGCTTTGGTACCTCCTCAGAGAGGCCTTCTCTGACCACTTTGTCTAGAGTTATTTATCATTATGCATTCTCCTTACAACTTGTAATCTTTTCATTTATGTTTTTGCTCCCCCCACCCCCAGAAGGTAAGCTACATGACATCCAAGATCTAGAATAAGACTATGGTGCTTGTCCAATGATTATTTGCTGAGGGAGTCCTCAACTGAATAAATAAGTGAAACATGTATATATATTTTTGTTACCTCTTTGAGTTGTTATATTTAAACTTAGTTCATTCCATCTGCAAAGAAAGAAGGTATTTTTTCATATAAACTTTCTCCAAAATTCTTTTCTCAAAATGTGGTATTTTCCATCTTTGGAAATATCTTTTTGCTAGGTGCCACAGACTGAAATCAGGCATGACAAAAACCTGAAAAAAGCCACAGAGAAAGTCAGACTGTTATGAAAGACAGCTTCTCAGAGTAGCCTGGACCCCAGATCTAGTAGTCAGTCTCCCTCCCTGAAATTGAGGTCTCTCCTGTTTGGCAGCAGTGAAATGGTGGCTGGGACTCTAATGTAGTTTCTGCCCTGACCCTTACAACTGGTGCTCTGGCTCCCCACCCAGACACAGGCAGGGAGTGATCTCATGCCTGGAAACACCTGCCCAAGTACAGAAAGAAGAGAAAATTATTTGCTAGATTAAAGAAATCACTAGACTAAATCAATGAACTATCTACAAAGCAAAGATGCAGACAAACTGCAGAAGCTGCTCTGTGAATGCCTTCACTGCGGGTCACAGGTTACCAGCTACATTCACTTCCCAACCTGACCTCCGCCTCCAGCCTCTGCAGGAAGCCGTGCTGAGTGAGCAGCTCTCTTCTCAGTGGGAAGACCCT